TATTACATGACTCTCAAGCCATGTACCCATCTAGTAGCTGTGGTGTATGCCACACCACGGCTCCGTCGGGAGAGTGACGGTCACTCTCATGTAACCCCGTTACAAAAGGGCTCTGCACCAGCGCGGCGAACGATCCAAAGCCATAATCTCGACATATTTTGGGAGAGAGTCGGCGTGGTTTCGCGCCAAGACTCTTAGCTTATTCATTGATGTGAGTATTATTAATCGGATTATTTCTTGGTGGCTTACAGGACTGTCTAAGTAAAGTTTATCATCATTTTGTAGTTTGCATCGTGCGTTGGAGAGAAGACTGTATGCCGCACTGCCACCCTCGACCCCTTCGTTGTCATTCTCCACTTCCATATTTTTGACAGCTACGTGCGCCATGTAGTCGATTCGACGAAACATGAATATGTACACAATTAGCTTAAGTACACGCCTTAAAGCCTAATTTAAGTACGACTGCAAATATATACGCAGTGGGCAACTCACTGGTCCATGCAGCGATATGTACTTGACCCATAGCGGCCAAAACTGAGGCAGAAACCATCTCTGCTACCTCTACCATAAACGCAACGATGAAAATTGGCAGCACTGACGCGCATATGTTAAGCAAGTCTTCGTCGGCCGTGTGCAACCGGAATACATCCGCACGCAGGACAAGAACACCCAACGCATGCAGTATCACGGTAATGACAGTGCATCAAAATCCAAGAATACTTGATAATCTGGCGGCTTTCGGTCAATTGGCACCCAACAAATTAAAAACACATTAGCAGCGATTCAAACCACGCCGCAATAAAAGGCACCGAAGCCGCGGCGTTAGTCATTAAACTATTGACGGCTGTAGTGGCAGAATTATTGTAGAATATGATCATGCGCTCGCGAGTAAATTCGTTAAAGTCCCATTGATTCCAAGCTCGGAGGTGGAATTTCTTGTAGACTATACAATACCACGTTAGTGCTATAGGTTGAAAGCATGAAGCTACGACAGTCGCCAGTGCAGATTCGTCAAACCCCAGGCCCACGCGACCAAATGCACCGTAAATAAA